TTTTTCTTTCCATTCGGTTTGGAGGACAGGCTGTGGTGTGTCCTCGTCCCCCCCACCCCCCACGCTGTTTGCACTTGTTGCCAAATAGTGGGAGCTCCCCGCCCAGGCGGCCTGGCTGGAGGCAGCGGCCGGCGCTGCTGGTCCGTGCTGAGGGGTGTGAGGACCTTGCAGGCCGGGAGCCTGAAAGGCTGGGGTGGGTGCAGCTCTGCTCCCGTCACAGAAGACGCATCCTCCAGAGTCTTCTCTGGGCAGCAGGGGAACCGACTGTCTGGCCTTTTCTCCAGCCGTCATTGATTTGTGCTGAAGAGGAAATTGACCCCGTTTCTTAAAGTGTTTGGTGTGCGTTTTAGAAAGTTCAAGAAGCCCAGAGGTATTGTCATGATAGTTTGTAATACCATGGACTGGCAGCTTAGGGAGCAGACGTGGATTCCTCACCGTCTGGGGGCTGGGAAGTCTGGGGTCATGATGCTGGCAGGTTGGGTTCATGGCCCAGGGTGCCCTTCCTGCTTGGCGGCTGGCACCTTCTCACTGTGTCCTCACTGTGGACAGAGCAAGCTGTCTGGTGTCTCTTCTCACAGGGACGCTGAGCCCACCAAGGACCCCGTCTCAGCTAAGCTCCCTCGTCTGTGGTGACTGGATCACCTCCCCAGACCCCATCACGTGGGCCTTGGGTTCGGGCCCTAGCTTGTGTGGGTGGGGAGGCCACGTGTTTCTGTTAACCTCTGAGTATCTTCACACGCACGCTTTTCAGGAGTCTTGACGGCTGTGTGTGTTTCTCCTCGGCGCTCTGCCTGCGCTCCGCCGTGATGCTGAGTCATCATCGCCCAGGCATCCAGTGCCGAGCTGTGGTCCGCGATGGTGGAGGGGGCCCCGTGCCGCCTCGGCTCCCTCTGTCTTTTCGCGCTGAGTGCTGGGTGACGGTGTTCTGGGAGGAGCCGCGTCAGGGACCTTTTCACAAGGCTGTGCTCATAGCTGCGGGCCCGCATCCATCTCCCGAGTCCCCTGTGGCCGTTGGCCCAGTGCAGTTTGCCCTGCTTGTCTCGCCGGAAGGCTGAGTCGGGCCAGGGCCGCCCGTGCTGTCAAACCCTTCCTCCGCGCGCCCTTGTGGGTCTGCGGCTCTGACCACAGTCAATGCCCCTCCACGCCTTGCCTGTTCTCGGCACGGAGCAGAGCCGAGGAGGGTCTGGGTGTTCGGGCTGGGTGTGCTCTGAGGCCCAGCAGCCCAGGCTCGGAGCTCAGCTCAGCCGCTGTGTGGCCCGGGGTGAGTGGCGTAACCGTTCGGGTCTGTTTTCACAGCTAGAGGATGGGCGCTAGTGGTAGTGATCGCCCTGCCGGTTTGGGGGCCGGGTGAGTGAACGCCCGTGCATGTGCAGAGCTGTGTCTGGTGTGTTGTCAGCAGGGCTGGTTGTTGCTCATGCTGCTGTCACTGGTGCACTCGCCTGGCCTGCTGCTCCCGTGGGAAGCTCACCAGGTGCCCCCCGCTCCCTCCCTGTCTGCAGTGTGCCCAGGCCTGCCGCCTGGCTCACTGTGATGGAGACACATAACAGAGATGGGTGATGTGTCCTGATTTCAGGGAGAGTGCAGCGTGGGGGTCAGGCAGTTTGCCTAGAGCCGGGCTTGTGCGCTAGGTGATGTCTTAGCTGCCTGCCACAGACGTGTGGACCCGGGGCTCCCTGGCGTAACACCCAGGTGCTCATTGAATCCTTGCAGGGAAGGGCCGAGGTGCGGTGCTGACCCTGCGCCCGCCCTGGGATGGAGTCACAGAGAACCATCCAAGCCGGCACTTCTCAAGCCGTAATGTGCCTGTGTGGGCAGGACGATGGTGTGTATGTCCGTCAGGGGTGCCAGGGAGCGCCAGCCCACTGAGGCCAGAGTGCGTGCCGTTCCCTGTGCCCCCGATGCCAGCGGAGGAGGCCAGCACCCAGCCACCCGCTCAGAGACCCCTGCAGGTGAGGCTGGGCCGCCCCCACACCGCGGGCAGAAAGTGGGCAGAGATGAGAACCCTGTGTCTCTCGCACGTCTCCTCGTTCACACTTTCATTTGCTACCAGCTTCTCTGCCTCAGAGAGTACCCAGGCTGTTTCCATGATGATTGTTTGCTGGAGATTGACCGTGTTTAATATTAGTCCTGATCACACAAGTGAATAGGTTATAAATATGTTTCTTGTTGCAGGGGAGCCTGGACACACGGGTAGGGTTTTTGCTGTAGCTCTATGGTCTGTTTCACCGTGACTATCAGCCACGGCGGAGTGGCCGAGGCCCCTCGACTGGCTGCGCTGCGGGTGGGCTGCTGGACCAGTCCCTGCCTGTCCCCTGGCCGTGTGACCTGGGCCCGCCCTGCTGGCTCTGGGGAGGCCTCTGGTCCTTCCGACCAAAAGTGTGGTTGCAGTGTCCTCGGGAGCCACTGGGTGTCGCTGTGCTCCCAGAATCCGAGGCTCTGGGGGAGCCCTGCTGGGTCCACTCTCCTTGCAGACTCTGCAAGGAGCGGGCGTGTTCCCCTCTCCCCTCTGCTTGCTCTCTTCAGGTGAAATTTGAAAAATGTAGTTCAGATATTAACGTCAGATGTGCGTTCCCAAAGGAGGGAGCAGGCCATGCACTGGATGTTTAGAGACCAGGATGCAAGGACGCGCTTCACCCCCCAGGCCGCGGCCGGTCCATTTTGGGGTCTAGGTGGTTGCAGCGCTTGCTGTCGTGCATGGCATCCCTGTGCAGGGGGGCTCTCACCAGTGAGCGTGTGGCTCCGTCTGAAGTCTTGTCGTCTGAACTGGAAGTTGTTTGATCTTCGTTTCTAAAATCAGGCAGCTGGCAGGACGGGGAATTGTGTGTGTGCAGATCATCCAGAGAAACCACCCCCCACCCCCGAGTTAATGCAGTCACTCTGTAGTTAGGATCTCAGACCTTTACAGAAATGGAAATGGTTGTGAAACGTTTGGTGCGTTTTGTACCAGAGGTGACGTAGGGCGCCGTTGTCTCTGCGCTCTGATGTGACCACTCCGTGTCCTGCTGATGGTGGTCCCTGGAGACCCGCTAGGGACTAAAGTGTCTCTGCCTGGCGGGGGGCAGCGTGTGGTCAGTAACGGAGGAGAACAGGAGAGGGGTCACGGTGGCTGCTGAGGGCATGAGAGACTTCTGGAAAGACAGCTGGAGCCAAGGGGTGGATGCAGGAGATGCCTGCGGGTGCCAACTCACACTCCTTCTGCAGGGGCAGAAGCGAGGCATGGTGCGGCCCTTGATGCTGGGCAGGGCCTGAGTTCGGGCACTCTCGTCCCCACTCATCTCCTCGGGTCTTTTCCCCTCGGGCACGCTCCAGGGTCTCTGAGTTCTGGCCCTCCTCAGCCTGCCTGCTGCTGACTTGCCCATGCAGATCCAGGCCCGGGGCCTGCTGGGGGAGGATGGGAGCCTGATGCTGGGGGACCCTGCTGGGCCTGAGACCCAGCAGGAGGGGCGACTGAAGACACGGGGGACTTTTCTGAGGCGCCTCCTGAGTTACAAGCTTACAAGTTACAGGGGACACAGAACAGGATGACAGGCGTTTGGTGAGGCCGTCTCCACGCCCCTGGCATCAGAGACACTGTTCTGGCTGTGTGTAGCGGGTATCTTTCCTGAGACACGTTTATACGGTCTCTGAACATGAATGTGCGCTTGTAAAGTTGTGTAATCTGTTTATATAGTGCAAGTAAACGAGCCTTTATTGGAATGCCTGCTTGTTTCTGAGCCGTATAAACCTAGGACTTGAATTATTTTTATCCTGTAGCCTATTTTCAGACCTTTTCCTAAATAGTGAATGTAGGCATTGGGCCCCCTTTTATGGACCCGAAAATATAAAAGGTAAAAAGACACACTGCTCAGATCTCAGCAGAGTTAAGCTGTGCAGACAGTCCCGGCCCTGACTGTGGCTCTTTGCCACTTGAGCACGGCGGTGAGGGTTACTCAGGGTCACGTGGGGGCTGGGCTGTGGCTGTCCCTTCCGGTCAGGTGACCTCTGCTGATGCCGTCGGTCAGTGAGCACCCTGACCCTGCAGGCGGTCAGTGGCAACAGCAGCGGTTCTCTGTCTCGAGTCTCTTAATTCATCAGGTTATTTTGTCCTCCCACTCACGGTCAGGCTGAAAACCACTTTCTGTCAGCTTTCCTGCATCTTAAGTTCTAAGGGCGGGGAAGGAGGAGGGCACAGGTGTTGTGACAGTGAAACATCGGCCTTCCTCTGAATGAGGGAGCTGTTCTCGTCCAGCTTTTCTGGGAACTGTCAGAACTTGCAAAAACACACCGTGTTCCACAAACACATTGTCATCAGCTGCTGGTTGGGGTTCGGAACTCCGCTTTCACTGGAAGCTCCTGCTTCCTGAGGTTGTGACCCCAGGACCGTACATCCCTGGCCCTGCCCCTGAGCCTGGCCAGCAGGTGGGCCATGCGGGAGACCACCCTCCATCCTGGGGGCCAGTTCGTGGCCTGGTGGGCACTGCCATCACTGGGGGGGTCCCAGGAACACACCTCAGCCGGTGATCCTCAGCCTGCGTGCTGCGTGCGGCCAGGGCAGGGGCCCAGCTGTCATGGACACGGCCACGCCCTCGGGCATGCGTGCGTCTGGGCGTGGAGCTCGACTCCCAGGACCCTGCCATGACCACAGCCACCTGCTCGCTGCTCAGCCCCCTTGCTCATCTGAACTCGGGCCCGGGGGCCTGTCAGCTGGTGATCAACAGCGCACAGAAGGGAACCTGCGGAATTTCAGCGGGTGGCAGATGCTGCAACCCATGTGACCTCCCGCGTCCTTCCTTTCCTGAGAGAGGAGTGGACTACAACAAGGTGGTCCGGGCAAACCCTGCGGGGCTGTGGATTCTGCTGTTGCCACAGGCCCCTGGGACTCTTCTGGGTTCTGCCCTCCTCCCGGCTCCCTCCCCGACCTCCCTGTGTTGCCCTGATAGCCTTAGAAATAAACAAAGCTTCCCCCACAGCCCGTGCCTCCACCGCCCCCATCAGAGTTTTGTTGTTGGTGACTATTTCTTTCCTAGGTCCTTCTGTTGTCTCCACTTGGGTCAGGACTGGGGAAACAGGAGTAGAGGAGGAAGCAGGGCGTGGGGATTTGAGTCTCCCGTTTCGTTCCCTCGTCCATCCTCCAAAGGCTGGCCCTTAAAACGAGCCGAGGCGGGAGCGGCCAGGGCCAGCGGGCGAGGCTGGGCAGCCAGGAGGAGGAGAGAGGCGAGCAGGAGGGCCCGGGCCTCCTGAGAGGCAGGGCTGCCGGGCCTCGTGTTTGAGACCTGCACGTCTCTGCAGCCGATGTGCGGGGCGAGCAGGGCAGACCCGAGCGCTGACTTCCTGCCTTAAGAGAAAGCACTTTGTTTTCCAGGATCTGTGACGGCGTCCAGTTCGGAGCTGGGATCAGGTTCCTGTAGCGGATGCAGAGCGTCCTCCGGCCCCCCCAGCAGCAGCTCCAGGACGCGGGCAGCAGTTAGGTTCTCGGGGCCACATTCTCTCTCTCCAGATAAACATGTTTCATGGATCCTTCGACTGCAGTCCTTGTTGAAACCATGTCAATAAATTTTCAAAGATAAATCCTTGGCCGTGTCGTGGATGGGATTTCCTTTCCGAGGCTCCACGTGCTGCTCCACACCTGAGGGCCAGGTCAGGTGGCCTTGTGTGCACTCCTTCATGCGGGCCACACGGGTGGGAGGGCCTGGCAGACGTCTCCCGATTCCCCTTTCCTCCCAGACTCTTCGGGTCTCGGTGCTCAGTTCCCACAGGTCAGGTGACATCAGCAGTGGCATGGCTGTTTGCAGACTGTAAAGCGGCATTAGAAAGCGTTATCATCATCATCACCGGGCTTCCCTGCTGGCTCCGTGGTAAAGGATCTGCCTCCAGTGCAGGAGATGCGGTTCCACCCCTGGGTCAGGAAGATCCCCTGGAGGAGGAAATGGCACCCCCTCCAGTATTCTTGCCTGGAGAATCCCATGGACAGAGGAGCCTGGCGGGCTACAGTCCATGGGATCACAAAGAGTCAGACAGGACTGAGTGGCTGACAGCTCTCATTTTTATCATTATTTTTTGGCGGATGGACTGGAGTGGTCCATTTGGGCTGTTTATCCCTCAGACTCTCCCGGCGGCGATGGGCCTTCTCCATGAAGCCATCTGCAGAGCTGGCCGCTGGGGGGCGTGCGTGCTCTGACTCGATGCCGGCTGAGAAGGCACCGTGTTGGCAGGGCTGCAGGCTCAGGGTCATCTCAGCCAGCGTCAGCGCCCTGCGAGGAAGAACCAGCCTGACAGGGAGGCAGGGAGGGAGGGCGTGTTCTCGGGAGGGAGGCGCGGCCGCCTCGTTAATGCTGACGCGTGAATCCGCTTCCCGCGCTGCTCTAACAAAGCACTGCAGACCTAGAGGCTCAGCGCGGCACAGAGCCGTCCTCCTGCAGTCCGGACGCCGGGAGTCCAAAATGGGTCTCGCTGGCCTGAAACCAGGGTGTCCGCAGGGCCACGTGCCCTGGAGGATCCAGGGGAGGGCCAGTTTCCTGACCTTTCCCAGGTTCCCGAGGCGCCCACGATCCCTGGCTGATGGCCCCTTCCTGTGTCTTCAAAGCCACGGCTCAGTCTTGCGTCCCCCTCTGACTCTTTGCCTCGTCTCTGGGCCCCTGTGAGTCCTGGGCCCACCTGGACACTCCAGGCTGGTCTGATGTTACCATCAGGTGGTCAGCAGCCCCGGTTCTTCCGCAATCTAATAATGCCCCCGGCCACACTGAGTCAGATCCCCACAGGTTCCAGGAGTTAGAACATGGGCATCTTTGGGGGACCGTTATCCTGCCTAACACACCTCGTATCTATCTCTCAAAGTAATATTTTAGAGCAGACTTAATTAGCCACATGAGAAGAAAGTTTTAACAATTTAAACCTCCTCTGATTTCTTCTAAAAATGGTGCCCTGTAAAAATGTCCAGGGGTGCAGGTGATGCCCCAGAGGGCCTTAGCCAGAGAGCTTTCCTATTGGAATCCCTCCCCACCCGCACCCCCGGCTGGGGCTCAGTGCCCTTCAGCTTCATCCTCCCGTTACCGGGTTTATATCCCTGCCAAGGGCACCCGAGTCCAGGGACCCACCTGCGCTCAGGCCTCTGAGGCCTGTCTCACCCTCACTGCCCACGTGAACTATGGAGATTTTGCAGAGGATAAGTAAGGAGAAAATTTTACCTCTCTTAATAGTTGGGGACTTGGGAGAATATGCTTCCCCCCCCTCCCCCCGCGTTGCTTTATTGTTTCCAGTTTCACATTGATACATTTGGCAAAATAAACCCACAGTACAGCACTGTTGTGTTCCAGGCTGCAAATTAGGAACAGTAAAAATCCAGGGAACCCAGACTCTCAGACTCCGTGACCTTTGTGAATTCCTCTCCTACTCAGGTGGCGAATCCAAAAAGAAGTCACTTTTGAAACTGTGCCTCTTTAATCACGCAGGGCGGGGTCACCTCAGGTCGCCAGCCCGGTGCTTAGTGAAAGCGCAGCAGGTCAGCTGTCTGCCCGGTCAGGAGCCGGGTTTCAGCGGCAAACACCCTTCTCAGGCTGCTGCATCACGGGGTGGAATGGAAACGGTGGAGACACAGGGTAAGATCAGAATTCTGTCCCTTCGCGGTGGGGTTCAGTGGGCAGACCGGAGTAGGAAGCCAGGAGCCCTTCACAAAGTGCTGTCCGTGGAAGACCAGAGCCCAGGCCGGTTCACTGTGGGCTTAGCGTCATAGCTACTGTTTAGAGCGAAAGGTGTCATAAAAATGAGCGTGGAGAGCACCACCTTGCCTCCTCTGCGAGGCTCTGTGGCTACGCCTCCCACCTTGTGGGATCTTAGTTCCCCGACCAGGGATCAAACCCGCGCCCCCTGCTCGGCAGTGAAAGCACCGGGTTCTAGCCACTGGACCACAAGGGGATTCCCTTTCCATCTTGATTTGACTTCATTTTCCTCTAAATACCTGAGTGTTTGGGATTATACCAGAGTTCAATATTTGTTCAATCAGGCTTTCACGTCACTCTGCAAAGGAATGGGCCAAGATGCGAAGCCTTCCGTGTCTTCATTCTGAAGGGGAACGCTGATGTCCCCCTTGCTGGAAACCTGCTGGGCCAGTCACCTTGGCATGTGTGACAAGCTAGCTTCAGCAAAGATAGTTGTCCCAAAGCCTACACAAGAAAACCTGTCCGTGATGCGTCCTGTCGCCCGTTACCATGACCTTGTGGCGGTCTCCGCCCTCACACTCTGACCTTTTACACAAGTCTCATCAGCCACGTGCTCCCCGAGCTGAGCCACCAGCCTCTCATGTCCTGTCCCCCTCCCCGCCCCCCGTCTGTTTTCTGCAAGGCTTTTACTATCCGAGGAGGAAACAGGCTGTGCTACCAAGGGTCTCAGCCACAGGAGCAAAGGCCAGTCAAGCAGGCCCTGCTGACGAAGATCAGGCCACACTTCCCCTTGGTTTGATTCCAGCGTAGACCCTGCACTTTTGACATCTTCCTCATACCCGCACAGCTCCCGAAGCTAAGAATTCTCTTTAGCTTGTGAATTTGCTTCTTTAAGACCAGATAAACCTACCACCTTTGGGATAATTAGATGTGCTCAAATGCACTGTGTGGTTTAGTCGCTCAGTTGTGTCCAACTCTTTGTGACCCCATGAGCCGCAGCACACCAGGCCTCCCTGTCCATCACCAACTCCCAGACTCCACCCAAACCCATGTCCATTGAGTTGGTGATGCCATCCAACCATATCATCCATCCTCCATCGTACACTACTCCTCCTGCCCTCAATCTTTCC